GAAAGAGCTCACAAGGGCCAAATCAAGATGAAAAAGGGGGAAGAGTATAAGAGCAGGGAACAGCAACGGAAAAGGGTAACACATCAACAACATAACAGGGACTGAATAACTGTATTACTTCACTGCAGCCATTTGCTGGATCAGTCTGTATGGGACACAGCCAATTCAGGAAATACCACACAAAAACTAGATCAGAGAGATCTTCTGTATCACCCACAAGGAGGAAAACACTAACTAGGGGAAGATATAAATCTCTTTCTGACAAGTGATGGTAAAATTTTTCATTCATATTCAGAAGAACTAAGCTTTACTGCCAAATATCCCTTCTGTCTGGCTGCACAGCGTACTTTAACTTCGTGAGGAGACTGTGAAAACCATGCCAAGTCTGATAATGTAGCTGCCAAAGTAAAATCATCACTACAGTAAAGGTGAAAAGTGAGTATTTTTGTATTTACTAGTTCATGTCAGTAAATGAGATATCACAGGTGGCTTCTCTGAGAGCTGGATCTGTGGCATGTAACCCAGCAGCAGGTGGTTCTGCTTGCTTATTTCTCCCAAAGTCTCCATTTCATGAGAACTAGGGTGGTTGCAACAGTTTGTAACAGAAGGCTGAAGGATGGATTTCAGAAAGCAGTCACCTTACAAAGATGCAAGACAGACTTTATCAAGCATCATATTGTGACCAGTCTGTACTATCCAAGCTCACTTACAGTCTGTTCCAACTTTGTCCAAAGAACATGAGAAACAATGTCCCAGAGACCCTGGCTTGTAACATCTGCCTAATTGTGCATGCCTTATGTTCCCACCCTTCTTATGCTGTTGTACATACACTGACACAGATTATATTTCTATTAAGTCCCATTCATATTTTTGTGGGTGCAAACCTGGAGCAAAGCAATGGGAAGACTTGTTAGACCACACAGTGAGCAAGAGACACAGCAGGAAGCAACCCAGATGCTCTGACATTACCCATCCAGCCTCCTCAGCCCTCCTTTGGAGATACCTTGGTAGATGAAAGAAATCATTATGGGCAGAGGTGGCAGTACTGCCTATTATTAAGGTTGCCCAGCATGTTCCATTACTAAGTCACTTTAAAAAAAAAAAAAAAAAAAATTAACCCTAAGTGTTCTAAAAATCCATGTACAGACCATAATCTGTGATGCCTCATGGGCACCTGAGCAGGAATCGTGATCTGAATAAGGGCAACTTGACCAAGACATTCCTGAGACACATCTCACCTTGTCCTATCTCCCCAACTTCCACCTTGCTAAGCCAATGGGTTAAGCCAACTCTGCACATGCCTTAGAGCAATATCACAGCTTGAATCACACCTCAGATGATCTCCGTCACATGAGGCTTTTTCTAAAGAAGGCCACAGCCAGCTGGAGCAGGTATATTGAAATCCTTGGTAAGGATTGGCTTTTCTAGAAGAGTAGTTAATGAACACTCCCCAAAGCAATAGTAATATAAAAAACAGGCAAGAGTGTTTTCCAGACAGCCTGACACAGTGGTTTAGAAATAAACCAGAGCACACACAATTCCTAGGAAATGTAAACTCAAGCCCTTGTTGGAAGTGTGAAAAAGCCCTGAAGTCTCATTACTACACAGCCTCCAAGCAGAGAAGGTGTTATATTTTGCGGAAAGTAATCCGAGTACTTATTTTGCTCTCTTAAAAGATGGGTGTGATTTCTCCATGTGTCCTCTCAGCAACTTCACCCACCAAACATTTCATAAGGAACTCTTTATCCACTCTTTAATACAAACAAATGCAATATTCTTTGAGACGTATGCAACATATAAAACTCCTAGGTCACATATGGACCTAGAAGTAAATAATAAAATACTGAGGAGATTGTCATTCATCATGCCCGATCCATCCTGTGCTGGCTCAGTCCCCCTAAAAGAAATTTGTAACCCTGTAACAAAAGATCAAACACAGACTTGTTGAGAATTTAAAAAAAAAAAACAAAAAACAAAAAACAACAAAGTTGTTGTTTATCAGAAGGATGAAAAAAAAGTGAGAGATTTTCGTGAGAATATATAATCATTTACCAAGCATACTGCCTGCAAGTGCAAGACAAAACCCCTGGTGAAGCTGAGAAGAGGTACCCCCAGTGAGCTACTGGCCAAAGGCTCAGGGCAGCTGCCTGGAAAGGGGGCCAGGTTTGATCCCATCCCTGCTCTTTCAGTCTCCTACAACAGCAAAAAGACCTCTAACCATCAGCTGCTTCATTTTTGACTCTTGCTCTCTCTGCTTTTCTCAAAAGACATTTTTGAAATCTCAAAAAAAAAATTCAGAATAGGAAAGCCATTTTGCATCTAATTGCAATCATGCAGAGGGGTGACTGTTTCTGACCTCTCATAAACCCTGAGCATTTGTGCTTTAATAAGGTCCTTTTAGCAAAGTCTTTCTGTGTGAGAACAACTCTAATGTTTAATATAGGTAGTAACTTGGGACAAAATTCTGATCAAGAGTATTATTTTATCTATCCACTTAAATTTTACTTGTCTTTTCATTTCTCACCTCTGGACTCAACTCAAAATTCAGGTGAACTTTTTCTCCAGGTTGGATTTTAGCTACATCAAAGCGAACAGTCAAAAGCTGGTCATCTGGTGTAAAAGTATCCTCATCACAGACTGTCAGCTCCAGGATGTTCTGAGGAGAGAGGCAGATGTAAGCGCCACATCCTGGGACTACTGAGCCCAAAAGGAATGTCTAGCAAGAGTCAGCATGCAGCCCTCACGTTGTTCAATGAGGACAGACTCCTGCAACAGCGTGGAGCTCAGTTCACAGCCTCTGCAGCTCCGACTGCAGTCAGGGACTAACCCTACAAGAGGTAAATCATCAGATTTGGCAGTGAACAAGAGCTCAAAAGAAAGGCAGCATAAGTGATGTACATGATGGTAACATGCACTGGATAGAGTAGAGATTACACATGCTGTTCATCAGATCCTTTGTGGATTCAAAATTACTATCTTGAGAAATTTTGGCATATCAGCAGAAAGTAATAATAGAGGGCAAACAGCCCTTTACAAATGGAAGGTAAAGCACATTAACAAACTCTTTTAACAAAATTTAAATTGTAGTGATTACCCTCGCAACTCCTCAGGGCTCAGATTACCCATAGCAGTGTGAGAAGATGCAGCACTATTAAGCCATAGGAAGCTGACCCTGTGTCTAGACCTCGTATCACTCGCATTCTGACTGCTAATCTATTTCTGCTAACTCTACAAACATTTTAACAGTTTTTTTTTTACAACTGCTCTGGGACATAAAGAAGCATTCAACTGTATTCCAGATGATCCATAACCCTCTGAGCTTACACTCATTCAAAGCATGAGATAGCCATGGTTCTATTGTAAGTCTGTAAGTCAGACATACAGTTTGTTTTCTTATAGCCTATTAGGCTTTTGAAAAGATGCCTGTTTAATGATGGAATGGTTAGTATTAAAAGATATTTTAATTTTTTTAAAAAACAGCATTAAGTTATGGTACCTCTTATAATTTACAAACGGCATCGCTGTTACTGTATAAAGCAGGTATTACAAGCTCATGGCAACGTACAGCAAAAATACCTTTACAGTCGCATATAAGAAAATATAACTAATCCTCTAAAGAGTTTATAAAACCTCCCATCCAATTCATGGGGTTCTAGTGCTTAGAAGATGACAGACACCAGTCAGAGCACCGGAGAATCCATACCAAGGCTTGCATGTGTACTTGCTAGGAGGAAACGGCATCTTTCATGCTGTCTCTGACGCTTTCTGTATCTTTCTGTTACCATCCTATTCCTCAGCAGAACTGAGTTCAAGCCTCTATGTAAGCCTCAAGGCTCCCATATAGAGTCTGCATGCAGCAGGTGAAGATGTCCCCTTCAGAAAGCATCTGCTCACTCTCACAGGTGCAGATCCTACCTTTACTTCACTTTGTATCATGAAGTGGAAAGTTTCATTCCAGACAGGGTTTCTGCAGTTGCATACAGTTCTTGTCCGGGCTTCCCGACATGAAGCTGTTGGCAGCCACAGCTTGATGTAGCAATCAGTTTGGCTCACTGGGTTAACAAAAAGATGCATAATTACTACAGCAGTACTTTTTTATTGTTTCTTTTGCCCAGTAAGGGGAAAAAAAGATTAACCTCTGAAGAGTCCTAAATATTTCATTAGACACAAAGGAAAACGTTCTGGATTTAGAGTTATTTAACTTTTCTATCTACATTTACGTCAATTCCAAACAAAAGTCAGTTTTAAAACATTAATTCTATGTGATAACAAAAGCAAAAATATTCAATTTCAATAGTACTGAAGTATTCCGGCTCTCCTGATTTTTTAATTCTATTTTCAAATATTTGCCAGGCTCCAAGCAAATTCACATAAAACTTCACTTCCTGAATCTTCATTTTTTCAAAAAAAATGAAGAATTTTTGACCTGGTTCTAATTGTAATGCACAAGTCATCCACAGTGATATAGCAATGAAGACACACACACGGCAGCACCCAACACAACTACTGATTTTTCCTGTATCTTTCACAAAGGTGCCCCTTTCAGAAGGGAAATGGGCTACCTGTGGATAAATGTGAACTGAAGAGTTAGGGGAAAGGGAAATATCATGGAGCAGCTGGTGAAGGGAAGGGTAACTTCTTTCCCGACATAGTATTTCTATTCTATGTCATTTCTATTGTTAACTGTTTTCTAAACTATCTTAAGTCTAAACAAAAATGAAAACAGAGACAACTTCTTCAGCCAAAAAAACTGAGACATTACTGTAATCCAAGCAACGGGTGTACAAGAGCATTATATTCAGGTGACGGTGATTTTCTTGCTAACCTATAAACATGCCATCAGTGATACTTACACAGATCTGCTTTGCGGAGATTTCTCATGCTTATAATTTTTACAGTAAGCCAGCACAACTGAGGTACTTCTGGCTGCAGAACAATGAGAAATATACCTTAATTATTAGCAAATAACTCAGATATAACTAACAGCCTATCCTATAGCATAGCAAAGGCCATTCTCTCATTAATGCAGTGAATATGTTTTCATTTTAATTATTTGAGACTATTTGTGAGAAGAAATTCTTTCTTGTGATTTGACACCATATAATGTCAGATTCCAGCTATGTTTACTAACCAGTTGTGTTTAAGTTTTCTAAAGTTTTAGGTTTCAGAGGTTAAGTTTTAAAGCAAGGAGTAGTAAAAAAATACTACAAGATAGTTTTCACAAAAAAAGTCATTATATAATTGCCCCTGTAAAATCCAGCTACCTTCAAACTGCAGGGTTTGCTCCTCAAATTTCAGGCTGAGTGCAATAGATTACAGCACAGAGCTTCCTGGTGTACTGGCTTGGGGACCATGGGATGCCTGCCTTCCTTCATCAGGGACTGCTGCCCATCTGCCATGTAACATTACTGCACCAGGACAGATACCCTCCATTTTATAATGCCCTGGTTAAGATATCACTGCTACTGGCCAACCTGGCTGTGGGATACATACCATAACATCCTTCACCATACCAAAATACCTATCCCTTAAAAAGAAATAAATGACTAAAAGAGGGAGAGAATGGTTCTAGAAGTGAACAGCCCAGTATGGGACTCCAGAGCTCTTCAGTTACCCCAGCAGGAGGAAGGCTGAAATCAGAGGCTTGGGGTAAGCATTCTTCCATTTCACACATAGGTCCAGCTCCCTATAAGGCAGGTCTAGCATTTCAGTGCAAATTTGACATGACATAAGGCAGAAGCAGCTGGGATTTTTTTTTTTTTTTTTGGCACTGTGTGACACTGACTAAAGATAACCTGTCATCCATAGATAGTGTCTACATTAATCAAAATGAAGTCATATTACCACAACATGCAGAACGGATATATGTACGTAAACCAGGAGCTAGAGGAAAACCAGAACTGAAGAAAGCATGAATCACAAAATCTCTAAACAATGTAGTTGCGAACACAAACCGAATTACAGATTTGATAAGGATGAGAGTAAAATTGTCAGTGTATTAGATTATACAGTTAAACACAAAGAAGGAAGAATAAAAATTATAATTGCATACGAATGCACATACACACACAAAATAAAAGAAAGCAAAAGCACAAATAGGTGATTCAGAATGCCCTGTCTTATTCAGGACTTTTGCATAATAAATTATTTTAAAAATATGTTCACATGGAAAAACACTAGGCCGACTTGATTGATTTAGCAAGCAGAAGCACTGAGGTGTAGCAATATATTGACATCCCATAGTGTAGGGCTCTACAGGGGAATAGCTTGAAGGCTCCACAACCCTCTCCATTTTTTGTTTTCTCCCTCCACTCCCCACCACAGCTACACACAACCCTATACTTGGTTACAGGAAAGACAAGATAATCTTGAAGAAGTAAAATACTACATACAGAAGCAGTAGCTCCATTAATTAAATTGAAAGGAGCAATTAAATCTTCAAAGCATCATGATTTCTGAGAAACTGTCTCCTTAGGACCTCCTTGTGTACCTCTTCTTTTGATACGCCAGTGTCCTGACAGGAGCAGATTAACCATCTAAAAAGCAGTAAGTTACCAGGCTAGATGCTATTTACAGCCCACTGGAAAAATTCTCAACCCGATAGTTTTCTCTCAGAAAATGCCATTTGAACAAAACCAGCAAGTTTGGAAGAAACCCATCAACCTCAGCAGAATTTTAGGCAGCAATGTTTCTGGAGATAGAATGACAAGGGTAGATGATCCAAAATGCTGAAAGCTCAACTTTGCATCCCAAATACAGAGGATTAATTTTTCATCCTCAGATTTAGTACCACCCATGTCCAGGAGTTTGGAGAAAACTTATTCATGAGATGGCTGAAATACTAAGAAAATATGCAGGCACAAAACCAATTATTACTCCATAGTGCTAGCAGGTAGTGAGTTCGCTGCTCTCCCAGATCTATCAAGAGTTAGCCTCACACTTCTGTACTGAATACAGCTAGGGACCAGATTCAGGAAACTCAGCAGAGGAAAAAAACCACTTTTTTTTTTTTTTAAGTTATCATTTAATATCATTTCAACCAGCTGTTATGTAGAAAAGGGAATAATTTGTTACATATCCAGAATGTACCACATTCAGTACCTTCCAACACCTTTTACCAGTTCAGTTTCATAAAAATTAGCATTCAGAATTATTAAGTGGCAGACACTGAATAATCCGTTTTATCTGCTGATCTGCCTCCATAAAGCAAAGGAAAAACAATTTGAAGACAGAGCCTTGGGTGTTATGAGGTACGACTACCATCATATAGTGATGTCACAGTAAAATCAGTACTAAAATCCAGCTCTCCCGGTTCCTTGCCCAGCATCTAAACCACAAGTTCATCACCTTCCTCACCTTCCCAACCCCTAAGTCATAGTGAATGTTTTCCACTCTAGAGAACACACTCACAGAAGAAATAAATATTCCCTTAACTAACCGTTAAAAAAAAAAAACAAACCCCTCTCACAATAACAGTTAAGCTTAGGGAGAAATGGGAAAGGCTGATGGAAGACTGCAGGTAGCACGGCCATTTTTCATACCCCACAGACCTCTCTGTGCAACCCCAGAAGCTGCCCGTTATACAGTACCCCATCTTCAGTGATGTGCAGTCTTTCATGATTCCTCCTTCTGATTCCAATCTTCCTCTGCGGGTTTGCTCGGATGAAGCGATCCTGGGGACAAGAAGCCAAGAGAGGGGCCAGTGATGAAACCCAGAAGTCAACAATTCCTAGCTTTCAGTTTCTACTCAGATTCGCCATGGCAATAGCAGGGGACCCTACCATTTCTCCTCCTCATGATGATCCCATGCACCTCCATCTCACCAAGACCATCTATCTGCTGTTCTTACTAACAAATCTGCCCACTGCAGGCCCATTTGACATTTAAGGATCAAAATTCCCCAAGCATTTGCTTTTGATGAATCTCAACCAAGATAGCCAAACAGATCCTCCTACCCCACCAATGATTTTCTCTTACCAAAGGTGAATAGGCTGACGATCCCATTAGTATCTCTGTTTCATAAAAGGCAACACTATGATGGTCCAGTCTGTATGTCTTCACAGCTGGCAGGTGCTCCTGGACCACGCTATTTTCCAACCAAATGAGGCAGGGAAGAAGACCTGTATAGATTGACTCATAGCTCCACCTCCCACTGGTTTCAAAAGCACAAATTATGCACTTGTTCTGTGCCACATGAAGATTTTTTTTTTTTTTTAAATACCATAGTGATTTAGGGGAAAGGAGGAGATGGTCAAACATCTTATCGTAGGCTAATCCCAAAATAAAATAGTTATCCACCACCATAAGATTTGAATAACCACAGAGGGATATCCTGGGGCAGTTGTGACCCTCACAAACTAGAGAAGACCTAACAGAACATTGCAACTACTGATATCTACTGTTACTTTCTCTAGTCCTAAAATCCATACCCATGCTTTGACAGCACCAAGTGGAGTGACTTGAACATCCGAACAGCCGCACTCCAGCTCCCACCAGCTCCTCCAGCCAGATGCATAGCTGCAAGGGGTTTTGCCAAGTTCACTACAAGTTACAGCCACAACGTGGAGGCTGGCTGTCATGGGCAGTGGCAAATAGTTAAAGAAAACAGCTTGCAGCTATTCTTCTCTCTTATTTCTGTTACATAAGGGATGTTACGGGGTAAGCAGAGCCAGCAGGAGCTTCTGTTACCAAAATGGTTTTTAGCAAAAGTGCTGCTTTCAATTAAATTATGTTAGAAACCCATATAAGTTTTAACACAAATAACTACATATGATTTTTTTCCAAAATACTTAAACATAGATATTAAAATTGTTGAGTTTGATTTCTTTTTCAATTTAGAATAATTTCACATTATTTTTCTGTAATAGTACTCAATACATAATACCAAAATACCTAGTACCATTACTGAAATATGACAGAAGCCAGCTATTGCATTAAACATTTTAAAACCAACTGTTATACAAGAGTAAGAAATTGCACTTGAAATATTTTTTTTTAAAAACAGTTTATTTTTACTTTTTAGAATCCCCAAGTGTTTAAGTCAGACAGAAACCCCCTTTTTGATGCAGCAGGACTTCTTACGAAAAAAATAAATCTGCCTTCCAACCATTTCTAATGAAAGTATCTGACTATTCAAACTGTTCTGTAGAGGAGAGCTGCCTTAGGTAAAGTTTAAAATTATCATTATAATTAGTCTGGTCTTTCATAGACTCAGACATTGAATAGATAAAAGTTCCTGCTTTAGGTTGTACTATCATTCATGCAAAAAAGTGTGATCAGTTCCCAGCTACAGGTTTTTTTATTCAGTTGTTTTTTTTATTTTGTGGAGCAGTCTTATTACAATAGAGATCTATTTCTCTTTGATTATATGATAATGCTTTTGAAGTAACGCTCCCCGATTTGAAACAAGAGATTCAGCTCATGCTGTTACAAGAGGCTGAACACAACAGCCATCACATCACTTAGCTCAGGCTCTGAAGTCATTTTATGGCTCAGTTTGATGACAGTGGATTCTCTTCAAGAGTAAGTTACCCATCCAGTTAGAGAATATGCCATGCTCCCCATTCAACTCCCACCCTTTCCACATTCTCCACATTTGGGCCTTTTGTGGATTTCTTAAATTAAATTAAGCAATATTATCTGCTCAGGCAGCGATGCTGCTATATTATACATGCTTCATCTGCACGTCATGAGAAAGAAGAAATCCAGTGAAACAGCTCTCCCATGCAAAAGCAGACGTAGTCCAGCAATAGTAGGAAGTTACTTTATAACATGATATTGTGCATCATGAACAGTGGTGCAGGTGAGTCAGAAATCAGAAAGCCACAGGCCAGAAAGACAAGATAGGATTTCAGAAATACCATTATAAGAACAGAAGCCTTCAGCAGTACTAGTTG